CTTTGTGCTCGAAGCCTTGCGCCTCGTACTCGCTGTCGGGTTGCACCCTGCGCACCAGACCACAGTACGTTGTAGGGAAGGATGATGATCCTGATACGGTGCGTAGTTTTTGCGCGCGCTAGCTGCGTGGGCCATGGACCACAACCAGCTAACACTCGTCCAGTTCTGCCACGACTGCGGCGTCGAGTTGTTGATTTGACAAAAAAGAAACGTATTTACATCCATTATGATGTTGCTGGTAGTACACTGTAGTACATAGCCTTCTTACCTACTCATCTACCACAGATTTCACCTCGGAAGGTGGACATTCGACGGCTTCCTTCGGCGCCGTGCTCTTGATTCAGGGCGCGTGAAGTGGGATACAGTCCACTAGCGCGCACGGAATGATGGCCAAGGATTTCAAGGCGCGACGTCCGCTCGGCTTGACTTGAAGTGCGATCAAGAAAGGGTTATCGAGATTCCTCGCGCCATTTTCAACATTTCAGCCAATCACAGGATGGCAGAGAACGAGTTCGTGACAAGCCAAGCAAGCGAGCCCAGACAGCAGGGATGGTCCCAGCGCTTCCGCAACACCTGCTCGAGGCGATTGCGTGCTACATTGAGAGCACCTACGCCGCTCTTCGCAGCGCCCGATGCTGCCTAATGAGCCCATCGGCCCGAACGAGTACCTTGAGATGCTGTTGCCAACGGCCAACGTTGTTTTAAATGATAAACCCACTCGCACAGCTCAGGTTCTGGGAGCCTACTAGTAGGTACTCGACTACATGTAGATCAAGTACTTTCACCATTATTCACCCCTGGGCTCAGCGAGCAACCGGATCTGGAATCAACCGGATGTCCGGATATCATGGCAAGAACAAGAACGACATCAAGCGCAAGTTCAACCATGGTGGACGCGGGTTTAACCTCAACCAAGGTGGCCGTGGCGACGCCAAGCGCCGTCACACTCAACAAGGCCAATCACCGCCGTTCTGCTACTACTGGCCTGGACATTACGGCGACCGTCCCCATATCAAGGCCGACTGCCCCAAGTGCGCCGAGGACATTAAGACCGGATTGTGCGCAGTGACATCTTCCACGAGTCGAAACCCATGGCGATGGCCAAGCCGACGCTCAACTCCCGTCAAGTGCGGCGCAGTGCAGGCTCGCTGACGCGTCGAGATCCCGGTGACTACGATTCTCTTGCTTCCCGCATTGTAGCAGAGGTATAATGCAAGACTACAGAGGTAGCCTTGAGCTGCGTAGCTTCAGTAGTGGAGAGTACAAGTGCAATGTCGTTGGCGCCAGGAAAGGCCGCCCGTGCATGCGACGCTTCCTTGGATCTGTGTGTATCATCAATATCCGGTTTCTGTCCGGATGTGGCGTGGATTTTGTGGATTTTGACCAATCAGAGGGCGGCATTACTAGGAAGGGTACCGACCACTTCGGGCGAGACCACGTAGCAGCGCGACCATGGGCCCGACCGAGCAAGAAGTAGCGCTCATCTCGCATGGCCGCAAGATCCTCGAGGTGTACAAGCACAAGGGCGTTATCAACGGGTACATTGAGCGACCGGATGCGCCTCACGGCGACGACGAGCCGGCCATCGCCAAGCACGAGCGCTGGCAGAGCGTGACCGCCAAGCACACGCAGAGCAGCCAGCTGCTCCAGTCGATCGAGCGCAGCATGCTCAAGCTTCTCGAGAACGTTGGTAGCGCCGACACGCCGGCGGCTTCTTTGAGCCATGTCACGGCGCCGCTCGTCGCCCAACTGCGCCAGCTCCTCCGCCAGAAGCAGCTCCTCGAAGATGACATGGGGCGAGATTTCCAGGTACTTGCACATCCGACGCATGAGATCCATCAACAAGGGTGCGTAGGCTCTTGGACCACCGGTCGTCCTCGATGCGTCCAACAATGTACCCTCGGTTTGGCTAGCCCACGCCGACGTCGACGCGCTCGTCCACGCCAAGGTCGCGCCACTGGAAGCCGAGCTTGCGCAGGCCAAGACGACAATCGACGACATGCAGGTCAAGCTGCACGCGTACAAGGTCCAGCTCCAGCAGCAAGCGGCGAGTACGTCGACGCCTCTCGCATCTTCGGCATCGTTCAGCCCACGTGCGCTCATTCAGCGCCTCGAGCGCCACATCCAAGAGAAGGACGAGCTCATCCGTGCACTCCGCGAGACGTTGGACGACGTAGCGAACGACAGCAGCCGCATGGAGAAGCTTCTCATCGCGCAGAGCGACTCGATTGCGATGCTGCAGAACGACCATCGTACGCGTATCCTCCGAGTTCTTATCCGTCGAGCTCATGCTTTGGGTTATAGAGCTGCGGGAAGCCACGGCAGCGTCGGCGGTCCCCGCAAGCGTACTTTCACCGCCCACGTCCGAGACGCAGGACCTCGTGCCGCCGGACGACGGTCATGCGCACCGCGTCGAGGACTTCGAGACACCGTTGCCACCGGGCTGGGAGATGCGCGTCACCAACACGGGCGACGTGTACTTTATCCATCGGCACTCCAAAGTCACGACGTGGGTCGACCCGCGCTCGCACCCGATCCAGCTGCAGCCGTCGCTCTCGCCCAACGCGCCGCTCTCGTCGCAGTACGCGATTGAGTTTCACGAGAAGCGTCCGATCGGCGTCCTCTTCCAGCCCAACACGCCGGTCGATCAAGGCGCGTGCGTGCGCCGTGTCCTTGAAGACACGCCGGCCGAATACGCCGCCCAGATCCAGCCAGGTACATTCGATGTGCCTTCGCGACGCGGTGTGACTTGCTCGAGCAGGCCACCAGCTCGTCGCGGTCAACGGCCACCGCATCCAGGAAGCGTCGTTCCGACACATCATGCTATTGCTACAAGGCGGCTTTCGGCCGCTCACATTGACCTTCGATCGGCTCGTGCGAGGTAGCGACCGCCTTGCTCTTGGAAGCTTGGCAGATGATGCTTTTGGTATAGTGGGCACCTTGCTACTGGACGACGAAGGACAGGAAGGGACGCGCGATACTGGCGACGAGATGGAGAACCCGTCTGGGTTCTCGCTGGCCGACCAGCTCATCACGGGCGTCTTCTCGCTTGTGTGGGCGGCGCCCGACGAGACGACGACGTCGTCGGCGGTGCAGCCTATTTAAAGAATGACTCTGTGGTATAAAAGAACAGGAAATGTGGCGTTTCACCGCTTTTGCATGGTTGACAGGGGCTAGATACACGCAACGTTAGGTTTAAAAAACATACGCATCGAAATCCATTTGTTGTTTGTATGTTGAAGCGTGCCATGACAATGTTTTTTAAATCTCAACGCAGACAAGATCGTGAACCGTCGTGATGCGATTCTGCTGATGGACCACCAAGGACGATGGACGAGCAGGAGCGACGACGAGAACCGCGGTGACGGCGTCCGGCTGCCCGAGCTTCCGGCGGCGACCAGCTCGATGGCCGACCGACTGAGCGCGATCAAGTCCAAGATCGCACAGCGCAGCGTCGAGCACCGCCAGCGCAATGCGGCGCCCGACCCGCCCGTCCCATTCCGCGACGTGAGCTTGGAGCAGATGATGGAAGCCCGGTTGCATGCACTCCAGCGTGACATCGAGACGAAGCAGCCCAAGGCGACTCCTCGCGCCTTGCCACGACTGCCCGAAGCCGAGATGACGGCCCTCGTCGAGCGCACGACCGCGCTCTCGCAGTTCCACGACGCCAAGGCGACGCTCGACGCATCGCTGCATGTCGTCCAAAGCAAAGGTACGTCCTATACTCCTGAACGATAGGCATACTACAAGTACATGTAGTGCATCGGGCCGACGATGTGGCAGAGAACCTCCGTGACCAGGTCGAAGCACTCTACCAGCTCACGCCCGAATTGGACTTTGACGCGCGGGCGACGCGGTGGCGATCGATTATAGCGACGCGCACTGAGAGCCGCTTGCTGCGAGCCGACGCCGACGCGGCGCTGCATGCGTTCGAACACACGGAGCTGCGGAATCCGTACAGTGACCTCACCACACTGGCTGCGCTGACCGAAGCGCCGTCGTCCTCGCTGCCTGCAGCAACCCGCGACGTGTGGCTCATTGGCCGGCGCAGCATCGAAGTCAACTCCGACACGGTTGTCTACTACGGCGCGTACCTTCCGAGTCCGAGTGGAACCTCAAACGACCAAGGCAGCGGGGATACCGACCGCCCCGTGGATGGTCTGCGCTGGCTTGCGTGCTCCGCGGTCGCCGCCGAGCCGAGCCCGGTCGTGTCGTTTCGCAAGGTACCTACTTCGAGGTCGATGGAGGACTTATGTTCGTGGTAAGGGTACGGTCGAAGCATGGGATGTCGTGGGAGCTGGCATGGAGGTGGTCAACGGCATCTATGTTCTCTCCGGTCGCTTCGAGCAAGCCAACAAGTACACGTCCGTGGCGGGCCTCGAGCTCTTCCGCAAGCGGTGCGCTTCCACATCATCGCCTGCGGCTGAGAGCTGGCGGTTAGGTTTAGCATGGCGACACAATCATTCGGGAGCACCGAGATGGATGCGCTGTCGCCGGGCCAGCTTGAGCATCTCGATCCGGCCAGCACGGGGCTGCCGCTGCCCCTTCGTGCCCGCTACTCGGAACAGGACTTCCACGTCCTGTCGCAGATTGGGTCCTGGCTCGCAACGCAAGAGGTCAAGGCCAAGACCCACGCGGAAGCCATCAAAGAGTCCCACCGCAAGGTCCAGTCCGTCGACGGGTCGAGCGTCGACGACGTTGTGACGGTGCAGACACACGTGACGGTGCCGATGCCGCTCGTGCCGTCGCGCGCACATGCCGTGCCGCCGATTTGCCGCGCGTGGGTGCTACTGCAGTGCCGTGTGAGCGACTGCAAGCGACGTCATTACTACATCTCCCACGCCGAGCGGGATGCAATGACGTTATGGCAAGAAGATCTCGAGGCCAACGTACGTGATGTGTGGACATCCGTGCATATGATCCGAATATGCTGTAACGTGTAGCTCGACTTGACAACGCTCAAAGCCATCACGGCGCGCGAGCTTCTCATGGAGCAGGCGCGCGCAGTCGGCGCCAAAGCCATGTCCAAGTACCAAGCCAACATGGTCCAGGAGACCAAAAAGCAAGTGCAGAAGCTCGTGCATGTCGTCAACGCCCTGCGTCTCGCCAACGTGCGCGTTGTCGAGGCCATTGTAGCGTGGCGCACGCACGCCCAAGCCTCGGGGCGTCTCTCGATGCTACACGCGGCTGCCGACGACGCATCCTCGTCGCTTGGCTGGAGCGTGAGCCTCACCGTGCTCACGGGCAAATACCTCTATCGCGGCTCCAACGCCTTTCTGTCCAAAGTACGGACAGTATCAATATTTCAACTCGATATATCGATAGATCAAACGTTACTGCCGCGACGCCGACGTGCACGGTGAGAAGGAGACCCAAGTGCGGTACTTGGGATGCTACCCGACCAAAGTACACACCAACTTGAACGACCCCGCGATTGCATGTCATTAGGTCCAAGCCGAAGCTGCGTACGACAGTGCAGTCGTCTCGGAGGCGCGGCGATTGCATACAACCGTCGACCACATGCCCCGCAAGCGGTAGAGTGGCACCACCAAGCATTGTCGTAGCAATGTTAACTAGCTATGTGTTTCTCTCGTGCGGCGCCCACTGTGCGATCGAGAGCGATCTTCGCCATCGCTCAAGCGCCAAGACTGTCTGCGTTGAATGCCGAACCCGCGCGCAAACCAAGGTCGAGCCGTGGATACCGACGTACGTCTGGCACAACGTCAACTACCTTCTCAAGGTACCATGCAGGACTCGGTACGATGCAAGTAATGTGTCTAGATGGGCTCGGACTTGAGCTTCCTCGAGGCCATTACACCCTTGCGCCTCTATGTCGGTCCGTCCTTTCCGCTCCACGGCAACCCGTTTTTGATTCCTACCGAGACGCCGCGTGACGCCAAGCGGTTCCTCGAGCTTGCGTTGCCGTCGTCATCGCCCAACGAGCTCTTACCGACCGCAGCTTTTACGCGTCACGCCGACAACCTCGTGACGTGGACGCACCCCGAGACGGACGCCACGTATGTGGCGAATTCACACCACCTCGTGTACCTACCTCTCGGTCTCGAGTCCAATGCGATAGTGTAAGGTCTGTAGGCGCTTGACATCGAACAACGTCGAGACGCAGTACGAAGTACTCGACATGCACCGGCTATTTGAAGCGCAAAAAGTGTACTTGCGCGAACTTAGTCGCAACAACCTCGATGCACTCGACACTGCGACGCAGGACGCGCTGAAGACGCCGTCGACGCTGCCCTTGGAAGAAGACCCGACCATGCGCATCGTGCAGGCGCTGTACTGGGACCGGTGCGCGGCGCTTCGCATTGAACAAGTGCGCCCACCGCGCGCGTACAAGCTCCCAAACGTCTGGTGCCGCACCGACCTTGGCGAGTGGGCAGGCTTTCGCGTGCGCGGCAAGCACATTCGGCACCACGCGTTCGAGTCCAAGCTCCACGAGACGGGCAAGAAGAACATTCAAACGCGGGCGGCATTTGTGGCGCGGCTGCGGAGCTACATGCAGCAGCCGCTAGAAGCGCTCTCTCGGCGCGCAATGGTCGACCTCCTTGCCGAAGCCGAGGTGGTGCGCGGGGACTTGGTACACGGAAGAGTCGAGCAGTGTATGCATGTCACTCTGTTGTTGTAGGTGTACTTGGAGGCGGAGAATTTGCGGCGGTTTTTGGCCAAGTACGATGCCATGACAGCGGCCGCGTGGGCGCTGCAGTTGTGGTGGCGCCAGAAGCTCGCACGCTGGATCGCACGTCTTCGCGTGCTTGCACTGCGTACGCTGGCCCACGCTCGACGCCAGGTTGGCGACTATGTTCTTATTGCCTGCGCGAATGCCAACGTATTTGGATTCTAGTTTGAACAAACCGTCGCCAGCGTCGCCAACGGGCTGTACGCGGCCGTCGTGGCCGCCGCGACCCAGCGGGCAACGCAGCGCCTCCGTGACGGCGTCGTGTCGACGTGCCTCAAGTTGGACGGCGAGCACGTCATCGTGACATACCATTCGATGGACCACTACGACACGACCAACGATGACGTCGATCATCGCCGCACCCCGTGCAGCCACTGCTTGCGCATGGCGTACCACCGCAGTGTGCAACTCGAGAGCTTTCGCTTTCGTCAAGAGAGAAGCCTTTGCTACTGCGGCAAGCGCCGGGATCCCGAACGCATCCTCGTGCGCGCGTACAACCCTGCAACCAACGACATCTACCGCATTTTGATTGGCAACGAACAACTGCGCCAGCGTGTGCGCCCGCATGTGGACGGGTACATAGAGGTTGTTTCAACTTGATAGTTTGAAAGTTGCACGTAGCAATCTTCGGCGCGCGTGCGACTTGCTCTCGCTGCCGACCGACCGCATCCTCGGGTACGACCTCAACGCCATCGGTGGTCGGCCGCGCACGAGCTGGGACCCGATCCGCGAGGCTGCGGTACGACAGGATATACTGTATCAAGTTGTCAATAGGGATCTCATAGCGGGCCCACGCGGCCGCCAGCGCGGCTGAGACCCTCGCTGCCTCCCGCGAGGCCCTCGCCGCGACCAAATGGTCGCAGTATACGGCTTGGCGGGCACTGCATACCGACAGTTTGCACCGCAAAAAAAGCGCGTGGACCGTGTACCAGAAAACGCTCGCGCAAGTCGAGCGGTCGGTGAGCACCCTCACGTCGGCCTCCGTGCATGCCAAGGCGGCTGTTGCGTTCTCTGAGAAGGGCCGGACGACGTTTGCCGGCGAAGCGTCGTGGGACCCGCTCGAGAACGCCAACAACTGGCGCCTCCTCGTCGCAAAGCGCCAGTCAGCACGCGACGTGGTTGAGAAAGAAGCTCAGTTTCAAGCCGCTCGGCATGCGTGGTTCCACGCCGACATGGACGAGGCAAGCGCACGAGCGCTCACAGCCCACGCCAAAGTAGATCCTTTGATTCTTAGTCTAGTGTAGTGTGTTGACTAGGACATAGGAGCGGTACGATGGTGTTGCGGCCGACGCCAAGCGCACACGACTGCTCGCAAACGACTACCGCGCCATGGCGACAGCCGCGCTGCTCATGCTGCGGGCGACGACTCGAGTGCTCAACTCGCTCCTGACGCTGCGCCAGTTTGCATCCGTGCCCATCCGCCGCACGCTGGTGCTTTTAGACGGCCCCGTCTTACAGCACTACCACGGACGACCCACCGCCCTCCACGCGGCCGTGTATCGTCGCCGATTTGCCTACAACCTGCGTACGTCTCTACCTTTTTATTTGGCTAAAGCATAATGTCCTCAGTGGCGGCAAGGGCAAGAATGGTGCGGATGGACCCGATTCCCCACGATGCCAGGCGCCAAGAGCTCTGGATGCTGCAAGTGCGCATGCTGGCCGAGTCGACGGAGCGCGACGAAGGCGTCCTTGTCACAGCGTACGAACGTTGGTCAACGGTTCGCTCGTCGACAATGCGTCTATGTAGGTACCGTCCAACCGACGCCAAGACGGTGGATACGTGGGTCGAGTGGCGTTTCCTGCACTTGCTCGTCGACTGCCCGCGGTTCCGGGACCCTCATTTGGCCATCTTTACGAAGCAACATGCGATCGCCGCAGCCAAGACGCGTCACGGCAACGCCATGATGCAAAAGCGCCTCGTCATGACGGCCCGGGCCCATATTTTGATGGCGCTCGTGCGTCTCAACACGTTTACAGCCGAGATTGACGTGACGCGGCTGGCGTATTTTCGACTCCGCGAAGTGCTCCACCGACGGCTTCTCCAAAGCCATTGGTGGCACGACGTGCTCGCAGGTCGCAAGCGCGGCCGCGGTGACGAGGTCTATCGGCAAGCGGCCAACGTACGTTCTTTGCGTCGACCACGAGAAGGTCACAGAGTCCACTGTGTAGGTGGACGGACGCCGGTGCCACGTGCTCATCTTTGAAAACTACGGCGACCTTTGCATCCTCGTGTACGAGCCTCGCTCGCGGAACCACTGGACGGTCGCTGTCCCGCTCGCCGCGTCGATTCATGCGCTGCGGTGGTCGCCCGAGAAGCTCGGTCATTGGCTTGCATGTGTCCGCACCAACAAGTACGCAGACGCGGTGTTTGTACCGCTCTTGCAGCACTTGACGATCCATGCGACGCATGGGCTGCTGTTTGCTCGATCGTCTGACAAAATTGTGTGGCGCGGCGTCCGCTTTGTCTGCGACCGGTACCTTCTCATCACGATTCGCCAAGATGCGTGGCTGGGCCTCCGACTGCGTGTTGTCAGCGACCACCACGCTCACGCGCCGCTTCGAGGAGAGATATCGATCGACGCGCACGGCTGCCGCATCTTGTTTCCAAACATGGCACCTGGCGCCGAGATGTTTGCCAAGCTGGCCGATATGGTGACGTTGGCGCCGTCATCACCGCACGTAGCGACGGACGGCGATGCGCTCTCGGCCGCGATCTCGGCCTTTAACGCGTGGATCGAGACCACCACGTACGAGTTGCGTGCACGGACAAGAGGTGCATGGCTATGTGTAGGCGCTGGCGCAACCCGCTGCGCCCGATGGACCCGGAGACCGCGCGGCTGTGGGCATGCCTCATCGACGCCAAGAAGCTGCGGCATGCACTGGCGTCGGCGGCCACGGTGGTGCTAACGCACGAGGTATGTCACAGCCAAGGAGTGGACTGCGGATGGGCGGTAGGTTCCGCTACAGGACAAGATGCGTCGCTGTGTGTATGCAACCGACTACATACTCGACGCACATCGCGACCTGCAAGCCAAAATCGAAGTGCTGCCGCGCCACGGTGCCATGGTGCTTCGCCTGCGGTACCCTCTTGCAGCGAGGCTCGTGGTGACGGTAGCGCGTAGGCGGGAGCTCTTTCAAGAGTGGGAAGCGCGCCAGGAAGGCAAGCAGCGGGCTGCCATGGCTGCTGAAGAAGCGCGCACACACCTCTCGATCCTCCATGCTCGGCGCGGGTACGGTATACACTGGTATAAACACGAATTTACTTGGGCATAGCGCCATCCACGCTGCACTGCGACAGTACCATCGTCGGCTGCGGGATCTTCAAGCCGACTTGGCAGCGTCGACAGTCGTGGTGGCATCGGTCTTGGAGACACAGCACCGACGGCAGTGCTCGCTCCGTGCGATGCAGTACATTCTAACCATGGCGGTGCACGAAGTTGCTGGAGGCGACAGCGGGCTTCAAGAGTATGCACTCAGCGTCGGGCATGCTATCGAGTGGCTCGAGGCGCCGCCGTATGCATCGAGCTGCGTCTACCTCAAGCCCGCCACGACCATCTACCGGCCCAACGCGGCCGCAACGCTGGCGACAACCGCCGTCGTCGGCGCATTTGCTCGACCACTGCAGTTTTTTGTCTACATTTACGTGACCGATGCCAGCGAAGTACTCTTGTCCTATGTATCTTCCAGCGACGCTCATGCGAGTAGGTCTGGCAAGTCGAAGCCTACTGCAAAACAATCGGCGTCCTACTGACCCACTTCATATCGGTTGCCGGCTTTGTCCAGGAGGTGGACCATCGCCTACCAGCGCTGTCTCCATCCGCGATCAACACCAAGGCACTCAACTGGCTCGCACAGTCATTTGCGGTGACCGACACGGACGCATCCGCGACCATGGCGCAGCTCTGGGCCCATCTGGTCGCCGCACGACATGAGCGGCAGTTCCTTTTCCAAACGCTCCGTCGTCTCACTACGTTTGAAGGTGTGGGAGCGCTTTTGCAGAGCGGTCCCTCTGGGTTTCTGCGGCGAGATGCGCTGCAACGCGCCCTTGACGTTGTTGACACGGCGGTTGCCCTAGCCCTGGACGACGCCGCCCAGTTGGCGGACACTGACGTGGCGGGGTACTTTCATCTCGCATGCGATCCCGACGGGCTTCCAGCGACAACGACGACGATAGCTAGTGGTACCAGCTGCGTTGCGAGCTCACCAGCGCCCAGTGAGCACGTCATGTCCGAGTACGGCATGCTCCTCCATGTCGATGCATCGCTCGGTATCGACGAGGTCTTTGCCGATACATGGACACCCGACGTGGCTGCGTCCGTGCTCGGCTCATCTCCTATCGCCGTGATCCCGGCACTCTACGGCACGCTCTTTGCAGCGCGGTCGGGGACCGACGTCAATGTTCGAGCGACGACGCTCGCCAACGATGCTGTTGTGGTGTACGGCCCTGCGCTCTTCACGACGACGTTGCAGCATTTCCATGACCTGGTGCTGGCGACGCAGTGGACGTCCGAGTTCGCGACAGCAAAGAAGAAGGTGGTGCCTCGCCGCGGCGCCAAGCCCATCGCTGCCTGGCGCACCTACGCCAGCGACCGCATGCGACTCGCACGAGCCGCCAAGCCCAACCAGTCGCATCTGCCGCGCCCCGCGCCAGTCGTCGCAGTGACCCGCAACGATAGCGGGCCGCCTGGCACGGAGCTCTCAACGCTCTGCCAGTACAAAGTGTCTCGTAATGCGCTCGAGCTGCTCGACGGGTACGCGAGGCAGGTTCACGGAGGCGACATGTCGCTGCCAGAGCTCGCAGCGCAGCGATTGCTCGATGCCATCGCAGTGGAAACGGGCTCGGGCGTCCTCGCAACCAAGCCATTGGACCTTGCACGCGTCTATTCGGGCAGCCTCTCCGTGCCGCTCGACCAGCCCAAGACTGGCGAGAGCGATGACGTTATCACTTCCCACATGGTCCCACTGCACGTCGATGTGCGCGTCAACAACATCGAGCACCCGACAGCGCTTGTCGTTGACGCATACGATGCGTCATCACGTACGCACGACTACCGCGTCACGATTGGTGTCGACGACATGCGCATCCTCGTGCCGCGACGGCCTGTGCACGGCGACGCGTGGGCCACCCTCGCTGTCCACTGCCTTCCGCACCTGGTGCGTCATCACTAGACAATGGATGATGTGACTTGACTCGTGTTGCTCTAGACTCTTTGTCATCGCAACGGCCGGCGGTGCCTCGCCTTCTTGGCGCCGACGCGGTCGGTGGCGGTGACGAGCATTGCGCCGCCGACAGTTGAGCCGTTGCCCCACCCATTTGCGCCGTTTCCACACCCTGCCGCTCCGTTCACAAAGGTCGACGCGCTCGCCGAGACCATGGTTCTGGCACGGCTGCAAAAGCACACGCTGTCATCGATCCAAGCGCGCATGGCGGACCGGCAAGCGGCCATGGCTCTGCACAGCGCCAAGGCCGCGCTCGAGTGGGAGCGCATGGAAGCGGCCGATGCCGAGAGCACCGCCGATCGCGGCTATTTGACACTGCCGACGAAGGCCTTGCACAAGCTCAAGACCGCGTACGACAAGGGTATGGCGAAGGCAGCAGCGACCGACGTTGGTCGTGTACGCGCCTTTTGGTCGTCGCTGGCGTCGACTTTGCACTTGCCGGACGACGTGCTGCCGGATGCGGTTACCGTCGGCTTGCCGTCGTTCTACGTCGTCGCCGAGCTCTGGCGACAGTACCAGGTGACACCACAAACAACACCGGAGGGTACCCCGTAGCGCGCGTGCGGGCCACGGGGCGGGATTTGTGTTAAAGAATAGTATGCAGCTAACGACTATCGCAAGGATCCGAATACGAGAGTTGGGACTCTCTACTTTTCCATGTAGGCCTTTTGCACTTCAAAGGCGAGGAGCGTGATGCCAAAGAGCGGCGCTTGGACCATCATACGTGGCACGACGCCCTTGAAGAGCGCGCCGACGCCGCCGGCCGCAAACACCTGCTGGAAGCAGTCGATCGTGCCCTTGTAGTTGGCGCCGATCATTTGCCGCTTCGTCTTGATGACATCGGCCGGCGTCGCGATCGCCGCTGCGCCCGCACCGGCCGCGCACCCTGCGGCAACAATGGCCAGCATGGACGCGTGGCCGCTCTCGTCGGCCGCCGCGTCGCGGAGCGTCGCGTACGTGGGGAAGAAGACGATCGCGTACGGGATATCGCGCAAGAGGCACGCCGACGTGCCCTTGTACAGCCCTCGGAGGCCCAAGTCCTAGTATACATGAGCTTTGTGCAACGATAAGGACTGTGGTGGAAGGTACCTTGACGACTCCCATCGCAGTCTTGCGCTCGGCCAGCGGCAGCCGATCTTGGGTTTGGATGCGGATCTTGACAATTTCCATCGGGTTGGTCGCAATCACTTGGCAGAAACCGGCGCCAGCGCCCGCGAGCACCTGCTTGTGCAGCGGCAGCACGCCCGTGTCGTTCGGGTCGAGCACTTCGCGGAGGTAGTCGTTGACCGCGAGCTTGATGGCCTTCTCGGGGATGACACCGACCAGCGTCGGCGGCAAACCGCGGAAGAGACCGCGGACGCCGTCGCGCGCCAGCAGCGTCTTGAAGCAGTGCACCGGTCCCGTAAAGTTGGTCGAGCTCTGCAGGTTGGTCTTGACAATGTCGATCGGGAAGGTGGCCGAGACACCAATGACGCCGGCAAAGCCACCGACCGCGAGCTTTCCGACAAGCGGGATCTTCTTCTTGGCAGGCGTCGGCAAAAGCGCAGACGGGTGGGGCAGCGTCGTCGTCGTCGAAGTCATGGGGGCGTAGAAGAAGGCGGAATGAGGGAACCGAGAGATTTCTTCAGTGATGCTGGGGAGTACACCGTACGCAAGATACCTTGCCTTCAACACTTTGTGTGTTTCCCCAATCAGTTGCCGCCTCGTGATTGGTGGATTGGTCGAAATCCCGGCCAGAACGAGATGTGATTGGCTAAAACCACATTGCAGTTCACCGCCATGACACCCACTCGTTCCACATCCTTTATTGTATTGCGCAAGTCGCAGTATGTCTTTGTATGTAGAATTAATTTCTAGAAAAAAATAGAACCGCCCTCATCAATTTCCCAGTTCTACCTCAATAGCAAATGCACGGGCACTGCAGCTGCATTTGTGCACGGCGGTTAAGGCCAAGCAAACGCCCACGCTGTTCGCTGCAGTCTCTTTGGGTCGGACCAGACCGATGACCATAGGCAGCGCACGCCACCACGCTTACACGACACCACCAGTCGTATAAACACACCCGAATCTTGGTCGTGTCAGAGGACCACCGGGGTAGGAATGAGACACTATGGATACATGACGTTGAAGTTGAGGTAGTTTTGGGAAACGACGGAGCGGTTCAACGCATGACGGCGATCGAACCGCAGCAAGATCCGTGACGGCTACGGGTCGCGAGTCGCTCGACCTTGCGAATGCCGAGTCTCTCGAGTACGAGTATGACGCTACTGCCAACCGGCGGTGGCTGTGGATGGAACTACGGGACATGCGACGCCACTTCAACCTGTTGCGACGCCGCCTTTGAATGTGTCACAGACGCACCGGCTGTTGCCCGCTGCCGCCCCAAGCTGCCACCGATCGACTTCCTTCTCAACGATCTGCGCGCATGGAAGCAATGTGGTGGCGGCGAGTTTGACGGAGACGAGAGCTGCGCCGACGGCTGGAGCTGCTACGCGTGGAACCAGTGGTTTTCCGAGTGCGTGCCATGGAATGCCACGACGACGGAATCACCGCCCGCTCCACCAACCATCGCGGCCATCCAGAGACCCAGCATCCAGCCGCCAACGCCAAGCCAGGTATGGTTTGGCCCTTCCGCGACACCTGGCGTCGTCCAAACAAGTGCGCCACCCACGTCTGTTTCGCCGCGACCGTCGTCACCGCCGCCAACGATTGCCCCGTCGGTGGCGCCACGACCAACCACCAAACGCCCACCGACACCAACGCCGTTGGCGACGCCTCGCGCTACGTCATCGCCGCCAACGACGGCTCCGACGGTGGCACCACGACCAACCACCCGACAGCAACCGCCGACGTCCCCACTTCTGCGATCGACAGTGTTTTCAGACTATGCTATCTTTACGGCTGCCGGATCAGTCCTCACCGAGTACTATGCGAGCATCTACGTGTCGCCCTTTGCCTTTGTGGCGAATGCGAAATGGACCTACACGGTCGACACGGGGGCGCTCGCCGTCGGGAGCAACGGCCAGTGCCTTGCGTACCAGCGCACGTCGGACGGACGCTATCGTGTGCAGACGCTTCTGTGCGACGCAGGGCAGAGCAGCCAAGCATGGCGCATCGACTTTCGAACGTATCGCATCGTACAGCGGAACCTGGGTCTTTGCTTGGATAGCCCAGTCGCGGGTGTGACGCTTGCACCGTGCAACACGGGCACGACGACGCAGTGGGTTCGTCTCGCGGCGCCAAGTGAGTTTTATGCCCATACCGACTTTGTAAACCAAGACGTCGCGTCGACGCCAGTGGGTGCTGCCATCGACTGCGTCGGCAAGTGTGGCGCGATGGACGCGTGTGCGGCCGTCGTGTGGACCAGTACGCCCACCGGTGGCATGTGCTGGCTCAAGTCGGGCTATCGGTCGCCCGTCGTGAGCAACGGGGCAACCGCAGTCGTGTTGACGCCGCCGTCGCTGGCCGTGTGCCAACTGCTGACGCTCGATGTCGGCATCGACTATGTCGGCTACGACATCGGCTCCGTGTATGCGGACACGCCAACCGACTGTTGCGCGCCGTGCACGGCCATGGCCAACTGCAACGCCTTCAGTTGGGCGGACCGTACGTGCTACCTCAAGAACGCACGCATGGTAACCTCGGCCAATGCGGCGGTGACGTCCGCCCGCGTCCGCAAGTGCTCAAGTCTCCAAGACAACGTTGATTTTGTGGGCTTTGACATCGGGTCGGCAGTGGCGGTGGCGGCCGAGGTAGGCGTCACGTTGACGCACTAGAACGACTCTTGTGTTGTAGGACTGTTGCAGTCTGTGCCGAAACAACTGGACGTGCCAAGCCTATGTATGGAGCAACGACAATGGCGGCACATGCTGGCTCAAGTCGGCGCGCGGCGCAGCGCAGACAAAGGCTGGTGTTCGCTCGTCCCTCGTTCTCTTTTAAACGCACCAGGTTTCATGCTCGTCGTTCAAATATGCAGCAGTTTTCATGTTGTTCACTCGGTTTCTTGTTTATAAACACAAAACGACTCGATATCGTCGACGCGACCTCTCACTTTCTTAGCGGCAGTCGACCCAGTCGCGCCACGACAGGCGCTTGACGAGACACGTTGCGACGAGCGTCACCTTGTCGTTTTCGCGGTCGGCGTTGATCTTGTGCTCGGGCGCTGGGTGCCAAAAGACATCCGTAGTCCCCTCGACGCGGTACTTGTTGAGCGCAATCCGTGTCGCGTGAAAGTGCAGCCAGAGGTAGTTGAGCGGATCTGTGAGCGCCACAATGTTGATGAGTCGGTGCCGGTCCTTGGTGTCCTGCGCTCCCAAACGAAAATAAGAAATGAGAGAATCGACCAAGCAACCAATCGTACCTGGAAGGCGCTCGCTGGAAGGAGGACGTCCGCGTCCCAGCTCACGCTCAAGAACGTCGCGTCCCAGAGGACACCGGCGGCCGCTGGGATCGCAGTCGACTTTGCGAAATAGAGCAGCGGCATTCTGGGCACGTGCGGGCCGCGCCGAAAGCCGTCGCAGACGCGCGGCCCCAACCACTACAGTCCATCACAACGTGACCTCGGCGATTGTACAGAGCCTACGTAGAAAAAGCAGCCGCCGCTCGCGAGCCCCAGCACGACGAGGATCGCCATGCCTTCCGCATACAACCCGCCCATCTTGGTGTTCCAGGCTGTGAAAACATTGGGGTGGATGAGAGCGACGGCCGACGACGCCTCCATCTACATGCACTTGACGCAACCGCCATCGCGACACGAGAAGAGGTACCGGCCATGACGCGACCAGCGCGCTCATCGGAGGTGGGTCTTTGACGATGAAGAAGAACGACGCGAGCGAGACGAGGCCGTACATGTGGCCTTTGATGCCCCACCACTCTACGCCTCGTCGATATACGCTCTAGCATGGTCAGTACGGACCTGTCGGCGTGTTCCACGTTGCGCCGATGCGGAAGAAGAAGGCGATGCGCACGAGGAGCGCCATGAGCCACGTATTGCGCAGGTGGATGGCGGCCAATTCGGCCCAGTCCGAGACCGACGCGTTCCTATACAGACAGGCAGTCAAGACAACACGTAGCGCTACTAACCCGAGATCGGTCCACGTGATCGAGTGAAACATGGTCGCGTCGATCATGAGCGCGAGCGTGTAGCAGAGCAGCGGAATCCAGCTGCCGTAGACGACGACTTGTGGCGGGATGCGCGAGAGCATCGAGAGACCGTCCTTGACGCGTCCCCACAGACTATTGGCGCGCGACGCGGCGACAGAGCCGAGCATGAGGCACAGAAAGCGCAGGATATTGTAGCTCTGGCCCGTCACGCGCAAGAGCCGCACAGTCGAGAACCACTCTTCAACGTCCGTGACGGCAATCGCCCTAGTATCGTTCACGGTCGGATGGAACGAGATCCTGTGAGCCGCACCCTTCGTAGCGGTAGTCGTGGACGCGTGTCGTGTGGCACACGCCACTGCTGTCGCAGCGAAGGGTGCGCGTGAGCACGATCACGTCGTACGTGCTGCGCGAGAGAAGGACGCCGCTGCCACTGTACGTGATCGGGTCCGACTCGGACTCGATCGTCACCACATCGACGCGATCGCCCTACGCAGCTGCATGTGAGCGGCTGCTGATACCAAGGTATGATGGACGGGATGGCTCAAGGCGATGACGTTGGCATGGACCGCACTCCAGAGGTTCTCGGCGTCGCAGCGGTCGTTGGGCGACGCGCTCGGCGTCTGCTGGATCCACGCGCAGTACGCCCACGTCTTTTCGCAAAAGAGCGGGCGGTCGTTGGCGTCGGCGCAAATGTCCAAGGCCGAGACGTTGGACGGCGCGTGGAACGCAGCGACCCACGTCCTATCCCGGATGGTGTCCATATACAAGTATGGAGTCGCAGCGTACGTGCGAGAGACGTTGCTGTCCGTCATGCTGCCGAGCAGACCATTCCCCTCAAAGTAGGCGTTGGCGTTGGCGCGCGCGGCCACCTGCACGTGCGTTCGCTGGCTCCACGGACTCGCGCCAAAGGCTCCGAGCGCCGTCATCATCGCATCGACGTACTTGAACACACCCGAGACCGAGGTCGGTGGCGGCGGCGACGACGAGAGCAAGCCCGCGACCGCCTGGAGACCGAGCGACGACGGTGTGCTCGTATAGGGC